TATGTGTTGGTGCCTGTGTGTTTGTTTATGTGTGTGTGTGTGTGTGTGTGTGTGTGTGCGCGCATGTGTGTGTGTGTGTGCGAACGCGTGTGTGTGTCTGTGTCTGTGTGACTATGTGTGAGTGCCTGTAATTTATTTTGTTTAATTTAATTAATTATTTATCATTTTATTTCAGCTTGAACATTTTCTTGTACTTATTGTCTATAATAATGTTTTAATTTAGACATATTCTTTTAATTTTTTTAAATACTTAACGTCATATATAGTGTTTGGGACGCAGTTTAGCGAGAGACCAAAACAAAAACTCCTTGTAAAAACAAAGATGAACTGAAGGCAAAGAATTATGAAAGCATTTACCAACTTAAAAAAGGAGGACCGTCCAGAAGAGTTGCAGGAGATTCCGAAGTCGTTTGGAGGACATGGTTGCAGCGTTTTTTTATAAATGCCATCTCTTCATAAAGCAGACGTTCATAGCTCTTCACAACTTCCCCTTTCTTTCCTGAATTGCCACGCGTTATTGGGAAGGATTTTTCAGGGTATTTTTCAGTTGTTTTCTTCATAGATTCCTTTTCTTTATTATCTGTGAATTGTCATGACGCTTTTTAAAATCATTTCACTTCAAGTAAGGCTATAAATCCACTAAGACGCAAGGAGTTACTGTGTATGAGAGAAAAGAAAACATTAAAGAGAAAGAACAATAAAGGATTAGGAATTAATAAAACAGAAATTAATCTCGGGAAACATAGTGTAGTGGTTTTCTGATACCCTCTCTATAATTTGAAATTTAGAGTTTTCCTTCTCCTAGACTGGTTACCAGCCATGGCCTGACACTAACGCTGCAACCCATTTTGTTGTAATTCCATCATCATTTTACTTATTAGTGCGAGTCACGTCATTTGCTGACAATACATGAACAAAACACAAAACAATTCCTCGAGGTGTTATGTAATCATAACAAGCAAAGTGCTGATGCTAGCCGACGGCAAACAACGATTGCTCCTTCGTGAGTGAATGCTTAACAGAGCGCAGTAGAATTAGCTGTGTACATTTGTGAAAAAAAATTGTTTTATATATCCTAATGTCTGAAAAGTGAAAGGTGATAAGTTGTTTTGAAGAGTAAATTGTGTTGATGTTCTCGTTGGAAACGGTGAGGCGGGCATCCATTTTGTTCAATCGTAGAGATCTTTACAAAATTAAGTCAATTATTGACGGACAAGTTGATGAATATGTAGACAAACCACTTTGCAATTACCTATTATCAGAACACACACATAAAACTATGTACAAAGAAAAATCGTATATATATATATATATATATATATATATATATATATATATATATATATATATATATATATATATATATTGTAATAAAAGGAAAGAACAGTAAGATATATAATCCGAAGTTCTTATTGATATTTTTATTTTTACAAAACAGTGCTCAATATAAATTTACAGAGCATAAATATTATAAATTAACTGATTTAGAATATGATTTCTTCACTACACAGAAATTACCATGTTTCAAAAACCGAAGCTAAAACATTCAAATTTAATTATATAATTAAAATAAAAAGCATTAGTTCTGTTTCATCTTCAAGGAATTTTTTTGTAATCTCTCTCTCTCTCTCTCTCTCTCTCTCTATATATATATATATATATATATATATATATATATATGAAACATGAAGGAAGGAATCATATTTTATATTCTATATATATATATATATATATATATTTATATATATATATATATATATATATATATGAAACATGATGCGAAGGAATCATATTTTAAAAAAATAATTATAATATATATATATATATATATATATATATATATATATATATATATATATAAAATGATATGGTACATTCAGTGCTGGTGATAGCAAAATAGGGCTCGATGTAATATAACAGGTCTATTAAGTAGAGTGACTTTTCAAGCGTAGCTTAGATGTGGCACAAGGCCCAAAGCGGGGGGGCGGGTAGCCAGTAAGGATCAAACCCACCAATCAGTCATAATTGTTTTAGCGAGACAAGCTTGCTAATCATTACACTGCCTCGAGGTGCCCGGAAATGATTTTCTAAGTGCAACTGGCAAAATGCCGAAAGTGTGGAACACCCAGTGAAGATAGAACTCACTGCTCAGTCGTAATTGATCTAACGAGATATGCTTGCTAACAATTAACCACATTGAAGTGGCCTAGAGATTTTCCAAGCGTAGCTTAAAGGTGGCACGAGGCTGAAAGTATAGGGCACCCAGTAAGGATCGAACTCGCCAATCAATCGTAATTGTTCTAACTTATCATTACACCGCCTCGAGGTGCCCTGTGTAGCATAGCTTAGATGTGGCACAATACCAAAAGTATGGGGCACCCAGGTGGGGGGATTAAACTCACTACTCAGTCGTAATTGTACTAGCAAAACAAGCTTACTAACCATTATACAACGCCGAAGCGCCTATGAGGTATTAAGTATATATTAATAAACATATATATTATTCCTCACCGATAGGCCAACTCAGAGTTTCATGCACAATGCAATCTTCAGGTACTGAGTAAATACTGACAGTTACATAATTCACATTTTAATTAAAATATCTGGTTAACGCAACGCTGGCGCAGTCCATATATTATACGGGGATTCTTTTGTTTCTTTTTATGTGCCATGTCCTTTCAGGACGTAGACAATCATGGTTCTCCACCTCACTCTATCCCTTGCAGCTCTCAACAAGTTCCTTTCCTATGCTACCTCCTATAGACCACATTCTGTAATCCACTTGCTTAAGCCTTCAAGGTATGTCACGCGTTGTTTTCCCTTGTCTCTCTTTCTTTCTGTTTGACCCGTGAGTATCAGATTCTCCAGGCCCTTCTTCCTCATTATGTGTCCAAGAAACTTCAGCTGCCTCTTCCTGATATTAAGTATGAGCCTCCTCCTTGTTTGCAACCTCTCACCGTTGCTCACACGTTCGGTCCATGATATCCTTAGCACCCTTCTGTAGAACCACATCTCTGTTGCTTCGAGTCTCCTCTTCATCTTTGAGGGGTTTTATATATATATATATATATATATATATATATATATATAGGAGGCCGTGGTTGAAGCCAATATTATCATATCGGTTATATTTATTATTGAATAAATTTACACTTTAGTACTGTTGAGTGATAAGATAATTCTATAAACAACAGCCAACTGCGTTAATGCAAATCTCTTCAGTAAAATGAATTGGAGCACTCCGGCTGATTGGCATTTGTTTACATTCACAAAAACAATACGCTAGATTTAGTTGTTTCTCTGTTGAATGAAGATAGCTCAGTGGTAGAAACTCTGTCTGATTGTTTGGGTTTCGATCCGGGCTTGAAGTATTCGGTTGTCTAGTCGCACTGAGGTGCTGCGAAACAGTACTGTCTGCGAACGACACACTAGTATTTCAAGATATTTTTGTAGTTTTGGTAAATATATGTTAAAATACGATGTCAGTGTTATTTTCCTTTTTGCGTATTTTAGACGACAGTTTATCCATCGCACCCTGTATATAAGGGAACAATGAGGTAAGCATCGACAGTGTGTTTCATGCATAAGAGCATTCTTCATGGCGTGAAGATTGCGCATAAGCGGTTTAATAATTTCTTTAATTTTATTATATAGGACTTCATGATAATAAGTTTTAAGATAATTTTTTTCCTTTTTAACCGCGAAGAATACATTTTTAGGATTTCTTGAGCATACAACATAAAATTTCTGGAGCCAAATTCTAACTTTTTGAAATGTTTGGTCTTGTGATTTTTTTTA